GTTTTTAGCTCTGTTTTAGAATCTTCTTTCTCAGGTTATAGGTGGAAACTCTTGCCCCACATTGGGCACCATTTGTAGCTGGAGTTATCGCCAGTCCCGCCCGGGCTCACAGCCACTCACATCCAAATAAACACACAAGAAGCTTATATTATTTAAACTGTTTGGCCTAATGGCTCAGGCTTCTTTTTATCTTGTTCTTATATCTTAAATTAGCCCATTTCTATTAATCTACATGTTGCCACATGGCTTGTGGCTTACCAGTACTGTACTCTTGCTTCTCATGGTGGCAGCTGGCAGTGTCTCCCCACTCAGCCTTTCACTTTCCACAATTCTCCTCTCCTCTCTCTGCCTACACTTCCTGCCTGGCTACTGGCCAATCAGTGTTTTATTTATCAATCAATCATAGCAACACATTCATAGCCTACAGATATCCACAGCAATGATATCCACTAAATCCTGCATTTGTTTTGGGTATTTTAGCTGTTTGCTTTTAAAATACAGTAAGAGCTGGTGGGATATGGCCTAGATGAGAAAGAAACTGTCTGTACATCCCAATGAACTCAATCCCAGAACTCACCTAAAATCCAGAACCACGGCACACATCCGTGATTCCTTCACACCTAGCAGAGAAATGCTCTGCAGGCTGGAAATTGCCTGGAAGCTGGAAGGCCAGCTGCACTGGAGTTCACAGTACATCTAGGGAAAAGAGAGCCCCGCCTTAACACGGTAGAAGGAGAGAGCCAACTCCTGAATGATATCCTCAAACACCAACAGGTGCCCTAGTCGGGGTACCATTGCTGCAATCAAACACTGTGACTAAAAGCAAGTTGAGGTGAACATGTTTATCTGTCTTACACTTCCACATCACTGTCCATCACTGAAGGAAGTCAGGGCAGGAACCTGGAGACAGGAGCTGATGCAGAGACCATGGAGGAGTACTGCTTGCTTACTGGCTTGCTCCCCATAGATTTCTCAGCCTGATTTCTTGTAGAGCCCAGGACCATCAGCCCACAATGGTCTGGTCTCTCCCATATCAACCAATAATTAGAAAAATGCCCTAAAGTCTTGCCTACATCCTGATCTTATGGAGATTTTTTTTCAATTGAGGGTCCCTTCTCTCTGATGTCTCTGGCTTGTGTCAAGTTGACATAAAGTTAGTCAGCACAGAAAGTAAGCTGTGGTATGTGTACATCCATATTCTCCCTCTCCCCCTCTCTCTTTCTCCCCCTCTCTCTTTCTCCCCCCCCCCAACACATACAATGTTCTAATTTGCTTTTATGTTGCTGC